GGTGGTTTTTGCCCCTGTCTGCAGGTGACTCAGTGAGGTACCAAAGAGCTGAGGTGGTTTTTGCCCCTGTCTGCAGGTGACTCAGTGAGGTACCAAAGAGCTGAGGTGGTTTTTGCCCCTGTCTGCAGGTGACTCAGTGAGGTACCGGTGCCTGCCCGGCTTCACCTTGATTGGAAACGAAATCCTGACCTGCAAACTCGGCACTCACCTGCAGTTTGAGGGGCCTCCCCCCACGTGTGAAGGTAAAGCTGGGGGTGCCCAGGGTGGTGGTCCCACAGTCCCTGCACTTCCCTGCCCAGGGGTCGTTCCCAAGTGGGGGGATGGCTGAGGGAGGGAGCTGGGGGAGGGTTTCTTGCACATTCTGCATCTTTGGGGTGAATCCTCCCCATCTGCAGGGTCCCAGGAGTGCCAAACCTCCCATCAGGACCTTGTGAGGAGGGAGGTGAGACCCTCCCTGGGCAGGGCAGGGCAGTGCCAGGGCTGAGCTCCTTGGCTGGGCTCCCACAGCACCCAGTGAGCAGCAGGGAGAGGGGGACTGGGGGGTTTGGGGCAGATAAACCATGAGGGAAGGTTCAGAGAATCACAGAACATCCTCAGCTGGAAGGACCCCCAAGGACCATCCAGTCCAAGCCCCGGCCCTGCCCAGACACCCCAAAAATGCCCCCCCTGTCCCTGAGAGGATCATCCAAACCCTCCTGGAGCTCTGGCAGCCTTGGGGCTGTGACCAAACCCCAGGGAACCTGTTCAGTGCCCAACCAGTTCCAATTCCTGTTCCTCCACCCCTTGCTGGCTCCAGGGATTCTCTGGGATCTCCACATGGTCTGGGGGGGTTGCCTCATGTCGGGTACCCCTGGACTGTACCCCAAGTGTTCAGGGAGCCCCTTGGAGCTTGTCCTTCCCCAGGCAGTGCTGGGACACTGCTGCACCCTCCAGGCCACTGGAGATGTCCTTCCCTTGGGAAGGGGAGGAGTGCTGGGCTGCCAGAGCCACAGGGGCAGCCAGAGGAGGAGCAGGCAGACAGTCTGCAGGAACAGCTCCTCTGTTAGTGCCACAGAATGTCTGACACAGGAGAGGAATGAAAGGCCCAGCACGCTGGTTGCACACCTTGCTGCTGCTCAGGAGGGATCCCAGAGATGCTTCCCTGCTCCCATGTTCCTTTTTTTTATCCTCTGCCTTCCTGCTGGGGCTTTTGTTCACTCCAGCAGCGATTATTTCATCTCCTTCATTCCCTCCTATCTGGACATTTTTACCATATAATGGGATATTTTTCTATGGCTTTATTCTCTCTCAAAAAGCACGAGCTGAAGGAGAGAAAGGGAGGTCATTCAATTATTTACTGGTGGTTGTTAGCCTGGGGGTAAAGGGACTGCTTAAATTACATCTGGCCACCAATTTCTAGAGGTCAAAAAATCACTGATGGGATTAAGGATTTGGAAAGAATACACTGTTCTTTCTGGGTACTTCTGGCTATTTTCTATTCATACAAGCCCAGCGTTTGCACTGGGGTTTAGTGGCAATTATGGATAAATAAAGATCCCTTTCTTTATGCTTTCTGCTCCCTCTGTGTGTGTTTGCCCCCTCTTTTGGGGTATTTTCGTTGGCCTTTTTTTCTGTAGTGCTTTCAGCTGGGTTTTGTATTTCCAGGAGCTGAATGGGGTGTAGTGATTAGAGGAAGGAGTTGGAGTTCTTATGTCCCAGATAACAACTCTGTGGGTGACCTGAGATAAACCTGTAGTTCCACACTTTGTTCTAACCCAGGAGATAGAGTTTCCAGGGATTCCTGGGGAGCCTTTTGTCCCTCAGGGACAGTTGTTTGCTTGTGGGGCTGCTCATTTTGAAAGGGATGTGAAATCACCCCGAGGCTGTTGAAAAGCTTTGTTTGCACTGTTGCTTTTTGCCCCTTTCTTTGTTGGGATTTGTGGGACCACAGCCCAAATCAGGCTCTGGGGGTTCTCCATGAGCCCCAGGGGCCAAGGTGTGCAGAGCTGTGCTCTGCCTCAGCCTGGCTCATCAAGACAGACCTTCTTGGCCACAGTGTCTCGTGTTTTCATCCTCCCTCTGACAAACAGGGAAATTCCCTTTGTGTTGTCTCTCCTCCTGCAGTTCACTGCCCCATGAACCAGGTGATGACAGACTCCACTGGTGTGATCCTCAGCCAGAGCTTCCTGGGGAGTTACCCCCACTTCCAGACCTGTTCCTGGGTGGTGAAGGTTGAGCCTGGGTACAACATCTCCCTCACCATCGAGTACTTCCTCAGTGAGAAGCAGTACGACGAGTTTGAGATCTTTGATGGTAAGATCTGGACCTGGGGGGGTTGGAACTGGGTGATCTTTAAGGTCCCTTCCAGCCCAAACCACCCCATGATTCTGTAATTCCGTGACTTTGTGGCAGTCAAGGGGGAAGGAAAGGAATGGCAGAGGTTTGTTAGTGGTCATCCCTGTTCCCAGAGCACTCCAAAGTCAGCTTCCCACTGCACTGCCTGTAACCTTCTGCTGAACTTGGAGCTCCTCCTAAGCCTCATCGATTCTCTGCATAAGAAAACATCAGTGGTTTGATTTTTGGATGGATCTAAAGTGTTTTTCGAAGGGGCAGGAGTTAGCGAGCTCCCGGGAGAAATGGGAGCAGAGATTGCTGCCAGGGATGAGCTGGGGAGGTGGGAATTCTCATCCCTGAAGACCAGGCAGCCCAGATTCTCTAGGCCCACGAGTTCCCAGGATTGGAGAGGGATCTCAGGCCCGGAGAGGGGGGGTCTGTCAGCATTCCCAGGGAAGCAGCTCCGTGACCAGTGCAGAACACGAGTGTCGTGCTGGTGCTCCTGGAGCTGCCTGCTGGGACCTGAGCCCGAGGCATCTTGCCTGGAGCAAATCCTGGTCTTCCTGTGATCAGCTGGGCTTCCTTTGCCGTGGGGTTCCCAGGAGCCAGTGCCAGCCCTGCCAGACTCGTGTTCCCGGGATCACAGCGACGGCTCCTCAACGCTCCCGTTCCAAAGGACCACGAGTGACTCTGTGTCAGCCCTGACTTTTCCCTGTTCCCTCCTTTGCCCCCAGGTCCCTCTGGCCAGAGTCCCCTGCTCCTGTCTCTGAGTGGGAACTACTCAGCCCCTCTGACCGTGACCAGCAGCGGGAACAGCGTCTTCCTCCGCTGGTCCTCGGATCACGCCTACAACAGGAAAGGCTTCAAAATCCGCTACTCTGGTGAGCTCCCAGCAGGGCTGAGGGGGCTCCTCCTCAGCCAGGGGTCTCCACAAAGTTCCTGCAGAGGGACACAGACCATCTGTGAGGGCAGAAGCTGCCAAGGAAAGGCGGGTTGTGCCCAGGAGAAACCTCGAAGCCTTGGCTGGTTTCTCCACCACTCTGAAGAATCAGAACCAGGGTTACAGAGTCATGACCAGGAGAAAGTCCAGAAAGAGACCTTGAAGCTTTGGTTGGCTTCTCAACCACTCCTCAGAGTCAGAACCAGGATGTAGAGAGTCATTGATTCCAGGGGGAGTTGGATTGGATATTAGGAAAGGCTTCTTGATGAAGGGGTGGTCAGGCACTGGAACAGGCTGCCCAGGGAAGTGGTGGAGTCACAGCCCTTGGAAGTGTTCAAAAAATGTGTAGATGTGGTGCCTGGGGACGTGGTGTGGTGGTGGGTTAATGGTTGGACCTGATGCCCTTTGAGGTGTTCTCCAACCTTAATGATTCCATGATTGTATAGATGAGGTGGCTCTGGATCTGGATGAAGGAAACCCATCCCAAAGATTGCTGTGTTCCTGAATTACTGTGTGCTCTCATTGTGACATGTTGGAAGATGAACATCCCAAAACATCAGCACTTGTGTCAGGAGCTGCACGAGGCACAACTTCCCTGTGGCTGATGGTGTCTCATGTGGTTAAACACGCTGTGCTCCTGCTCAGGTGTTCTCCTCCAGCTCCTGGGAGCAGGACCAGGGGCTCTTGGTTGCTCACTCAGCACAAACCCACTGCTGAAGAGCGAATGTTTGCTGGGAACTCCTTCAAATGAGTTATTGTGTTTCAGAACTTGGCAAATCCTTATTAATGGAAGTTATAGAGCCGGGTTGAGAACTTGCCAGTATGTCCTAAATAAATAATGACTTTACTTAGTAAATGCATTAAGTAATATTTAATTATCAGAAATTAGTCTTTATTTCCAGAGCTGAGTGAAACTTGGACTGGAGCCCCTTTGCCTTTCCCCCTTTGACTTTGTGTTTATCCATCACAGATCCGGCGCGGCCTCAGGTCGGGGTGTAAGTCCCGAAAATGGGAAGGGAATTCCCTTGCTGCTACCCCATCCAGGGGTTGATTTCTTTTTCTCCTGCCCCTCTCCAGCTCCTTACTGCAGCCTCCCCCAGCCCCCAGCCCACGGGATGATCCTGAGCCACACCGGGCTGAGCCCCGGCAGCTCCGTCCGCTTCGGCTGCGACTCCGGGTACCGCCTGGCCGGGCACAGCACCAGCACCTGCACCCAGCACCCCCAGGGCTACTTCCACTGGAGGGAGGCCACCCCCCTGTGCCAAGGTGAGAGCACTGATGGGCTTTTATAAAGATCCAGCAGCTACGGGGAGGATGGAGGAGAAGGAGGTCAAATTACAAAAATATCCGAATTCCTGTAATTCCCCGTTGAGTCGGGCATGCAGGTGGGCACTGAGGGGTGATCCTCATGTGCAGGTCCTTGGGAGTAGATGGGCAAAGAGGGAAGGGAGCAAGTGTTTGGGGGCATTGAGAATGGGTGGTTAAAAAATCATCTGTGTGAAAGCTCCCAGGGCAGAAGTGTTTGAACCCTCGGTGACCACACAGCCAGGCCTTGGTTGAGAGTGGGAGAAGCTATTGCTTGGGAGGGTCTGGAAAGGCTTGGGAGGATCTGGAAAGGCTTGGAAGAATCTTGAAAGGCTGCCAGGAGTAGGGGTCCTGCTCTGTTTTAGTGGCTGGAATTTCCTTCAGTAATTCTGGAAGTGCCCTCTTAGGTCTGTTTGTGTCAACGGGGGGCGAGAAATTCCTGAGGGTTCACGTGGTTCCTGTTGGCTTCATCTGAGATTTAGGCATGTGGTTGTTCTTTCCACGTTTCCTCCTAATTAACCATAATCTCTGTGACATGTCATACCCAGCATGGAGCAAATTCCAGGCAGGGGAGGGAGGGGGGACAGGGCACTGTGCCCCAGTGGGGTTTTGCTTCTGTTCCGTCCCGTTCTCTCTCTGTTCCTTTTCTGATTGCACCTTTTTCTGCACCCGCCAATCATCCCAGTTCCTTTGTGCTGCTAAAAGGCCCATCTTTATTCTGATGAAGCCTTTCAGTGTCTTTGAACATTCATCCATGTTCCAAGGGGACCGAGCGCTGGGGATTAATATTGCATCGACTTCCCTGGAAACCAGCCAGGGAACAGAGACAGCACAGGCACCACCAGCTCACTGCAGTGTCTGCACTGCTGGCCAGGCCAGGCTGGAGGGAAAAGTGGGGTTGTTTAGTGTGGGAGGTACCAAGAAACCCTGAAAAAAATCCTTTCTGTGCTCCTGAATCCCTCGGGCCCTTCGGGAGTGTCACCTCGGAAGGGTGGCTTTGTGCCGGGGCTGCTCGTTTCCCTTTGCAGTTGATTTAGATGTGAGTGGAAAGCAGTAAATCAAGATCCTGCCGCCCCATCCCGCTGGCAAGGGGGAACTGGGAAGCTGGGCACGGGCTCAGGTAGGGATTCAGCCTCCCTGAAAACAGGATGGGGCAAAGCCAAGTGCTGGAAGGAGCAGCTGAACAGCACAGCGAGGGCTGTCATGGCAACTGTGCCTCCCTTAGCCCAGGGCAAGGCATCCCTCTGATTTACTGCATCTTTTTTTTGAAGGAGAATCATGTAATCCAGAACAGGTACAAGTGCTGCTCAGCTTCACTGCCCTGCAGTGCTGCTGGAGTGTCACCTGAGCCTCGTGTGCAGCTCCAAAAGCTGGATTTACTTCCAGAGGGGTAGTGGTGTGTGGGGACTGGGTTTTAAAGGGGAAGGAGGGGAGGAGATCCAGGGGGGATGTGGGGGGAGGTTGGGAGAGGCTGTGCCAGGATGGGGTGACCCTGACAGCCAGGGTTCAAAGCAGAAACAAGCCCCTGAGCAGCAGTTCCCAGGTCAGCAGGGAGGGACTCAGAGCCAGACCATCCATGGCTTGTCCCTACCAGGCCTGGAAATGTTGGGAAGCTCCCGTGGTGTTGCTGAGCACCCCAGATCTGCACTGTGGGCAGGGATTTCCCTGGGAGCTGCACTGGGAGCACCAAACCCATCCTGCACCTTCAGCTGAAGGTGTGACATGTCAGGAGCCTGATGGGCACAATCCACAGTGCCACTCCATGGCAGAGAAAGAATTTGGGGGCTGATTCCCAGCATTTCAGGTGGGCTCCTGATCCAGTTTCCCCTTGGGAGGGGTGTGTGTCCCCACTGACCAAACAAAGAGCAGCTTGGTCAGGATCTTGGTGCTGGATGTCCCTCTGGAAGAGCCTGTCTTCCTCCAGCAAGGAGAACATGTTAGATCCTGAGGCTGAAAGAAGCCCTTGGGGCAAGTCACCCTTTGTGTTTCCTTGGATTTCTATCAGGAATCTTAACCCTGGCCAGTGCCTTGGGATGAGTGCAGGCTGCAGGAGGGGAGTGAGCAGCAGTGAGCCAGAGATGGAAGAGAATTGGTGGAGGAGCAGCTCCCCCCCAAGGCCTGGAACAGTGGCCAGGGCTGGCTCTACTTTTCCTCCAGCTACATAAAATCCAACATCCTTTTTTTTTTCCCCCCAGATTGCTCTCTCAAAGCCAACTGGCAGTCTCTTGTTTTGGGCTGTGCTCAAATCCTCATCCTTTCAGGTGGCCGGGACCTCCCGGCGGAGGTTTGGGAACGGCATAAATTGCCCCCCAGTCAGCCATGGCAGGAGGAGGGGAACTGGTGTGCCCATAAACACTTGGTCTAGTTAACAAGTGCCATTTCCCAAAGCTCCTTTCTGCCAGCTCATAATCCTCTCCCCCTTCCCCATCCCCACTGAATAATCTTTACTACGTGCTCCGTCCTCGCTGACATTTCTGGAGGCAGCAGAGAATATTCTGCAGGGAGCAATCCTGCCCTGGCACAGAGGGGAGAACACTCCATGATCTAATACCGCCTTCTCTGTCTCTGCTGCCTATTTTTAAGCAGCTTTGTTTTTGGAATCCCAGCTGCAGCCTTGCTTTCCCAGCCTCTGTCCCTTCTCCCAGCAGAGTTCCTGCACCTCTGAGCCCCCAGAGCTGCCCCTTCTCCTTTTGCCCTGGATCCTGCTCTCTGTGGGTGACTCTGAGCCAAACACTGCTTTGATTTGCCCTGGAAGAACCTCTGCCATCCCTGTTTTTGGGGGATCCTGCCCACAGCTTGAGCCTCTGGAGCAGGGGGCAGGTTTATGGCCACCCCAAAAATCAAACATCTCTGCTTCGTGTGGGGCTCTGTAAATAAAAACTTACTAATGTTTGCAGAGTGACAGAGAATAGGTTTAAGTTGGATATTGGGAAGAAATCCTTCCCTGGGAGGGTGGGGAGGCCCTGGCACAGGTTGCCCAGAGAAGCTGTGGCTGCCCCATCCCTGGAAGTGTCCCAGGCCAGGTTGAACAGGGCTTGGAGCAACCTGGGCTAGTGGAAGGTGTCCCTGCCCATGGCAGGGGGTGGGACTGGATGGGCTTTAAGGTTCTGGGGAAGCCTCAGGCTGCAGAAGAGAATGGAAGGGAGAAGGGAGAAGGTTTTGGTGGGGGTGGTGACGTGGGAAGGGCTCAGCTCCCCCCCCAGCCCCTGTGGCCAGATACAATGGAAAGGAATAACAGAGCTGCGGGGTGGAAGGGAAAAGGTTGGACTTCCCAGGTCCCCTCTTTTCCCTGGGAATGAAATTGGTATTCAGTGTGGCTGCTTGTCTAGACACCCAGCCTTGGAGAGAGCTCCTGAGCCCGCCGGAGTGACATCCCTGTGATTATCAGCCCAGCCAGGGATGTGCCTGATCCTGCAGAATTGCTCACACCTCTGAGCAACACCAGCCCCTGCCAGTGCTGGGGGATCCTGCTCCAGCATCCCCAGGAGGAGCAGGAGTGGGATAAAAGCTGCTTGGACCTTGGGGGAGTGGTGGGAAGCTCTGGGGCTGTGCTGCTGCTGCTGCACACACTCCTTTGGTGTCTCTTCTCCAGCTCAGTGGGGTCCCTGTCACCAGAGGGTCACTTCTCTAAGGTTGCTGGTTTTCCAGCCTTGGTTGTTGTGCAGAGGGAATAACAGGAAGGTGAATGTGCTGGAGTGTCAGCACGAGGGTCAGGAGACACGGGCTCAGCCTCCACCTCCTGCACGAGGAGCAGGAGCAGCTCCGGCTCCTCCGGGAGGGGATGGATGTCCCTCAGAGCAGTTTGGAAACACAGACAGGGCTGGGTTTGGTGTTGGCCTGTGCTCTGTGGCAGCTCCTGCTCCTCTCAGAGCCCCACAGAGGCATTGGCAGCCCACTGGCTGGTGGTCTCCCAGTGGAGCTTCCCCTTGGCCATCCCGTCCTGTCCAGACGGGTTGGCTGGTCACCTCCAGCTCCAGCAAGATGGGCTTCCCCAGGGCCAAGGCTTGGAGAGGGATGGGGACCCACAGGAGGGTTTTGGAGGCAGGTCTGGGTTTGGCTTCCCAGCTCCTTTGAATGCCAAGAGAGAAGAGCAGCTGTGAGTGAGGGGCTCCCAGCACTGGCATTCCCAGGGGAGGGAAGGAGGGTGACTGGGCTGCTCGTGTCCTGCAGCAGAAGTGAATGTGGCTCTTCTCTGTCCCTCTCTGGGGCCTGCCTGTCCCCTCCCTGCCCTGTTTGGGGCTCCCCTGGCTGCAGAGCCCAGGGTTTCAGCAGGAGTGGTGCAGAGCCTCCTCTCCCAAGCACTGCCATCTCCAGCAGCCGCTTGGCTCGGTGCCCGTTTATCTATTTTTCCCCTGAACACCCCCCCCTTTACCTCCTCAGCCATAACTCTAAATTTAGCCTTCCTTCTGCCACAACATAATTACACAATTTGCTGCCTTATGTAATCCAGAAGTGCTCTTGGAGAGGGGTTTGGGGTTGTTGCTGCTGTGGGATGTAAATACAAAGCGTTCTCGCTATCGAATCCGTTATCTCTGTGTGAAAACTTTGGAGTGCTGCACTGATGCATTTTGTGTTACAGATATTATGGAAAGTACAGCCAGAGTTCTCTTCCAGGAGAAACTGGAATTCAGTGTTGGCTTTGCTGTTACCGTGCTGATAGGGTTGAAAATATGATCCTCTGTGGAAGTGGACATTCTCTGGAGGTGTTGTGAGAGTTCAGGGATGTTTGGATGATACTCTCAGGCACAGGGTGTGACTTTTGGGGATGGTCCTGTGCAGGGCTGAGGGTTGGACTCCATGATCCTTGTGGGTCCCTTCCAACTCAGCACATTCTGTGATCCTGTGAGTAGGAGGGTTTGGGAGCTGCACTTTTGGCTCGCCACAAATCCGGGATAAAACGGGAAGCTGACTGATTTCTGAGCCGTGGTTTTTTTCCCCAGCTCTGTCCTGTGGAGTTCCCAGAGCCCCCAGGAACGGGGTTGTCTTTGGCAAGGAGTACACAGTGGGCACAAAGGCCGTGTACCACTGCAACCAGGGCTTCCAGCTGCAGCCAGGATCAGAGCCCAGCACCGAGTGCCTGCAGTCGGGGCAGTGGAGCAACGGGAACCAGCCCCCCCAGTGCGTGGGTGAGTGTGGGAACAGCCCATCCCACCGGGAATTCGGGCTGTCCAGTCAGGGCTGTCTCCCACCTGTGGCATGGATGGCTTTGCCCCGTGGGTGTGGTGGTCAGGACAGTGTGTTTGTGATCCTGAACAACTGGATAAATGTCCCCTCTGGGGGGGTTTTGGTTTCCCACCTGTCCAGGTGGTGT